GCCGGGACATTTCGAATAACCTCCAAGAGAGGGAGATTGACGTTTACCTTTGAGAGCATGTCGAAAAGATCTTGAAATTGACGCTCCTTCTTTGTATCTTTCAAACGGATCGGGAAGGGAACCGGGGGTCGGTAGGGTGCATCCGCCTTATGCAAAGCCTCACGGGCATCCTTCTTGGGGTTCACCTTCTCGATTTCCTCCTCAACTACGACTTTCCCTTTCACAACGTCAAACTTATCACCCGACTCATCATCATCCTCCTCAACAACAACTTCAACAACTTTATCTTTTTCGGGCATCTCCACACAATTATCAATCATCTTACCGTTCCTCAAGACCGTGATGGTATTCAATTCTCGGGTTGGCTCGGGAGCTTGTCTTTCATTTTGCTCCTTTGGATTTCCCCGATGGAACTCCCGAGTTGCCCCACTTGAGTCTCGAGGAATTTAAGAGAGGCGTGAATCGATGGCACTCCCTTGATGGTGTCGTGCAATGTGGAGACGGTGGAGGCTAATGATTGAAGGCACTTCTCTAAGCTTTCGATCCGAGTCTCCGAGGATTCTCCGTTAGCATTCCTCTCGGGCTCGGGTGGAGGTGGCAAAGGTTGCCTCGGGACGAAGCCTCCACGCCCTTGTGGATATCCTTGAAACTCGAGTCTCGGTTGATAGCCTTGAAATTCGGGCCTCGGTTGGAACGGTGGTCGGTTGTTCGGTTGAGCATATTGTTGAGGTTGGGAATAGGCTTGTTGTGGTGCCGGTTGGGGTGGGTAGGTTACTTTCGGATCCCTCCATGAAAAGTTAGGGTGGTTTTGCCACCCGGGATTGTAGGTGTTCGAGTAAGAATCGTTTTGGACCCGGGGGGCGTACCCTTGAATAGCATTGATGTCGTAGGGGACTCCTTCGAGATTTGGGTCATAGGCCGACACCATATAATTCGGGCACTCGTGGCCTCCATGGCCGGCTTCTCCACAACACCCGCATACTTCGGCTATCACAACTTGGGTCGATTTTGCATCCCTTAGCCAAAGTT